ACACTTTCCCTCAGGTTGCATCCCCAACCTCACTTCTTGGCACAAAGTCCGATTTCTATCTGTATTTTACAATTCTTTTCCCAGAAGTTTTAAGTTTTCTATATCATAAGGGATTTTTTTCTATAGGGCTGGTTTGAGAGAAATACCACAAAAGGCGCTCAGGCCCGGTTCTCTCCCTCTGTGTATCTTTCTGCTTGTCTCTTTGGCAAGCAGCATTCAGGGTTGAGGTAAAGCCTCTTACCTTTCAAACACTCCCATGAACTTGTTGAGAAGTCCTGTGAGGGAAGAACCATCCCTCTCACTGTATCACGTAGGTCCCCATGAATTTTTCGCCCCTGGCTGAGATCCGGGGTGGAAACTCCCCAGGTTTCCATTTCTTCCTTGCTCTGTGGCGGAAAGAACCACTCTCTTTTGGTCCACCCAGAGTTAATTATTCCCCAGCCTTGATGTAGAGGATTCGCTGCCAATCAGGCTTTGCGTTCTCTCTGGTTGTATGCAAGATTCCAGTGTGTGAAGAAAGGGGACTATTCCAGCTCTTGTTATTCTCTACCTCCAAGGAGACTGTAAGGAAAGGAGACCTTTGGCTGCTCTTACTGGAGATCTGCTGCTGCTCTTACTGAAAAAGACCCTTCTGCTGAACAAGAGTGAGCTGACCAGAGCTGCAGTCCATGAGAGTCACGTCACCATGTTAGTCTAGGGCTACGTCTACACTGGCCCCTTTTCCGGAAGGGGCATGTTAATTTCACCTATCGTAGTAGGGAAATCCGCGGGGGATTTAAATATCCCCCGCGGCATTTAAATAAAAATGTCCGCCGCTTTTTTCCGGCTTTTAAAAAAGCCGGAAAAGAGCGTCTACACTGGCCCCGATCCTCCGGAAAAAGTGCCCTTTTCCGGAGGGTCTTATTCCTACTTTGAAGGAATAAGTAGGTCTTATTCCTACACTTTGAAGTAGGAATAAGACCCTCCGGAAAAGGGCACTTTTTCCGGAGGATCGGGGCCAGTGTAGACGCTCTTTTCCGGCTTTTTTAAAAGCCGGAAAAAAGCGGCGGACATTTTTATTTAAATGCCGCGGGGGATATTTAAATCCCCCGCGGATTTCCCTACTACGATAGGTGAAATTAACATGCCCCTTCCGGAAAAGGGGCCAGTGTAGACGAGTCCTTAGGTGACAAGTGCACCTTTGCATCAGAAAAACCTTGAAATTGACATTATGGAAAGTGCTGCCAAGTTCACAAAATACACAAAGTTAGGGAGGCCAGACAAAAGAACATTATTTGTTATTTGGTTTCGAATAGAGTAATTTTAAGGGTTCCTTGCAACTATAGTGATAAAAACAGGCAAATGTGATTTTTCATGTTCTTTTAAGTTCCCTATCTCAGAGTCTTTAATAAAACTCCATATTTATATCTGCACTGATGCTCTGTGGCCTCTGCTCTCATTAAAATACAGCAGGGAGCTCTTTAAAATGTTTGAGTAAACACGTACTGATGAACTACAAGTGCTTGGTGGTTTGGCATATGAAGATTCTCTCTCAGTATGTAAGAGCCCATTCAGTCAGTTTCTGAAGATTACTAACATCCATTTAACTAGATGAGTTTCTGCTGCTAGATATTTATTCTTTACTGGAACAAATAAGCAAGTCAATCTGCATATCCGTTATTTGACTCTTCTTTCTCTTCTTTATACAGGCGTTCAGATTAATCTCTTGTGTAGAGGGGCATAGTTCTATTAGCTTCTGAGGAGCTGCAGCTGCTTATAGCCAGGCAGAATCTGGTCTGTTGTGTGCCCTGATTATTACTAATTTATGCAAAGTCCCTTCATAGCTGTGAAGGTTAAAGTGGGCTCACTGCACATCATTCTGCTTAAAGTAGTTATGACTTCATGTCTTTTGGGAGAGCTTAATAGATCTCCTAGGGGTTTATTGCTTAAAGGTTTAATTTTTTGCTTTTCTACTCTAAATTAGAATCTGTACATGAGATGAAAAAAATTAAACCACCCACTCACTGAATGAAAATGCACATGTAAAAGAAGGCAGATTCCAATCAGGAACAGGTGGAAGGCATTGGGGCATTAAAATATGTATGGATTTCTATATAGCCCTGGACTGATCTACCCAGAGAGCTGTAGATGGAACTGAAATAATTTAAATCTAATCGAGCTATTAATTTTCTTGGAGTGTTGGTGAAGTCACATTTATTTTCATGGGAGTGAGGGGTAGGGATGTAAAAGGCTAGTTTGGTGCAACACAGTATTACGTTATGTATATATGCTGCAGTTTAATCTTGGGCTTGAGTCTGCTCTGATTTCCACAAGTGTAAGTCAGGAGTTAAAATCAAAGTGGTTACCCTGGTGTGAAATATTCAAAACTCAGATGTGTCATGAGCCTCAAAAATTCTGGTACCCGCACCTGATGTAAATCAACAGTTTATGCACGCCAAACGGTTTTTGCTGAAAAATCAACAACCCCTCAAGACAATCCTCACCTAACCTCAGAATACTGGTAAAGTAAGTTTTAAAAAAAATGCAGATGGCTCTTCTACTACCACTCTTTGCAGAATATTTGGTCTGTTCCTCCTGTTACTGACATCAGTGGCAAAACTGTTGACAATTTCAGAGGAACAGGATTTCTCCTTCGAAAACATTGCTTATCAACAATCTCCCCAAGGCCTGCTTTCTGTAAGGAAGTTGAGACTAGCACCTATTTGTGCTCATGTCAGAACAATATAGAGAAAAAAATGACTTGGTTTTTCTGGTTGATTACTTAAATTGTAAGCTCCTTGTTCTGTGTTTGTAGCACAGTGCAGTCCTGGGACATGATGATGACAATATGGTGCCTTTATACGTTAAATATATTGTAAGAGTTTTGCTACAAATAGCATTTTAATTTTAAGTCCATACATTTTAATCAAGGATGATCCATAGTATGGAGCACAGGTCTAATAAAAATCAATGAATGGATATTGGCTCATTGGTGCATTTAATTAATTGACCTTTATCTTTCTGTCTCATTAGAACCACAGGTATAGGATGTATAACTGTTTTTTCTCACAAAAGGGACACAAATATGAAATTATTTCTGAAGGGAGAGTCAGATGTTAAGAAAACTGATTCTCAGTTTAAATGCCAATTCTTTGGCCAAAAACTTGCACTGTTACATTAGCTTGGAAAAAGTCAAAATAATGGATTTAATAAAATTATATTGAAGGAATGACCTGGCATATTTCATTTTAAAGATATGTTTTTGTAATGTCATATAATCCTATGGTTCATTTCAGCATTGAAAGAAGATAAATTGCCATATTCAAAAACAGAAAATGCCTTTTTGAAAGACCTGTAAATCCCAGGGTTGGATGGTTTTCAGGAGATTCATTTTTCCCCATCAGCCTCAAAGGTTTTACCTGGTCAAGTCAGAAAAAAAGGCTCCTTTAACAGTTCATCGCCCTTTCTTTTGAGCTATCAGGGGGACATCATCTGACCTGGGGGATGAGAAGAGGAGCTCAGCTAAGCTCTGTGAACCAGGTGGAGGGTACATATGGCCTATTCTGTCAGACAGAGCCCTCTCCCATATCAATTACTCTCATGCATGGGATTGCAATAAGCCAGGGTTTTGTGATTTCCTGTGGCCATTGCATTAGTAGCCTCTTTTGGGACTTATAAAGAATCCCCATCCCCTCATTTCCAGATTGTCTGGGGCAGGGTGTTTGTTTGTTTTCACATGGCTGGATGGAATGGTTCAAGCTGTCACAACTTGGCAGGTGCCCAGTGCAGGTACCCATTCCACAACAGGTCTTAGGGGAAGGCATTCCCTAAAGACTTAGGGGAAGGCATTCCCTAAAGAAACTGGGAACAGAGATGTGGTCTCTGATAGCTGGTACTGTTAGGAGACAAGTCCCTTTGCCCTTTATATGAGGGGAGGATGGTGGAGTCCCAGCAACACGCTGGGTACAGGTATGTGTGAGGGAGAGGAAAAGAAGACAGCAGCATTCCTGAATAGGTGGACAGAATTAAGGAAGGAATCTGGGCCTGCACTGAACAAAATATTGCCAGATAGTGGTCAGAAAAGCTCAGTTAATAAAGTTATGGCCTAATTAAACCACAACCCTTGCATCTTGCCTATTTTCCTGTATGCCTGATGTAACAGTGAACTGTTATTGGTAGGAATTACATTTATTGCTCTACATGGTTAACTTAAGTAGGTTCAAAACTGTGTTTTCTTGACCAATGGGAGAGGGTGGAATGTGATGCTCAAATAGCTTAGTAGTACAGTATGATTGCCCTGGACACATAAATGGAAGCATTTATCTTTTGGGCGTATCCACATTCATAATGCATTAGTATGTCCTCTAAATCAAAACAACAACAGCAGCAAAACCCCACCACACTGTGGAATATGTTTGGATTTTTCTAATGGTCTAGTTACCACCTTGTATTTGGCAAAAACAATGAATCCTCTCTAACAAATGGAAGCAACAGAGCTTAACTTTAGTTTAATAACAAAAGCAAACTCTGAGGCTAAAATGTATTTGAGGAGGAAATAAAAATGAAAGCAGGCAATGAAGCTAGGTATACATAAAGCTAACATTTCACTGCACCTTGTTGATAGCTGACTGCAGTTAAAGGGCAGAGCTTTTAGAAATAATACAATTTCTTGCTAATATCAATAGTTGTGTATAAATTAGACACACAACCCTCATAGGTATAATCACATTTTTTTTAAAAAAAGTGCTAGTAATTAAAAAGGAGCGCCTCTGATTGTACTGAAAGTTATCTAAATGATTTCATCTTAATATGCTACAGATTCATAAAGTTGTAAAAAAGCCCTGCTAATAACTACTGTGTACTAGTATGCTTTTTAACAGTGACACAAAAAGTTTCTTGCTTGCACTGAAGACAACTGTATTCTTTCCTAAACTCCAAATAGAAAACAGCTACTAAAAAGTTGCTAGTGTTTTATGAATCAGAGAACATACAGTGATGTTTATATTTTGTTTTTTTTACAGATTAAGATGCCTGGTCAAGCAACTGGAGAAAGGTGATGTTAATGTCGTGGATTTAAAAAAGAATATTGAATATGCAGCATCTGTGTTGGAAGCAGTTTATATTGATGAAACCAGGTAAGTCCTCAGGAAGTGGAAATATTTTAAGATGAGGGCTCATTTTCTACCAATTGGTCTTTATTCTTAATTCCCATTAACATCAGGTGGTGCTCATTAAAAGACATAAGGACAGTCAGAGTATGACTCTTAGATCTTAAGAGAAAACTAAGGAATTTAAGATTCAAGCAATCAAATGTCACCTTCTTCTAGAGAGCTTGCTCAACTCCCATTTACTTTAATGAGCAAATGTGTGAAGCACAATCTTATGCCAGGAGAATTTATTGATGGGCGTAACTAAAAATCCAATGGCCAGATTCTGATACTCTTCATCTCCGAGAGGGGTACTTTACAGCACAAACATGCCTGTTGAAAAGATGGAAAGTTGCTGTTAGGTGAAATACTAATGGAGAAGAGAAGTCTGAGAATCACAATCTGCCCCATAATAAAGAAGCTAGGGTTTGTTTTATTCCATTATTTTACAAATATAAAAATTTGATTTTTATTAGAAATATTACTTTACATTGTTTTTAAATTGTTTTGCTTTAATAAGGCTGTAAAGTCTAAATATTCCTGTATTTGACTTCTTGAAATAATTCCAGGGCTTGCCGTGTAATTGAAGTTAAACTAACTCTAAGGCAACTTTCTGGTGTTTTCTTAAGTTTATATTTCAATGTGTTGACCTTTTAAATGTTTAAATAGAATCTGCTTCAAAGAATGTCTGTCAGAGCTTCTCCAATATTGTTTGGCTGTCCAATATGTGTCTGGTCCTGTTTCCTTATTCAATTTAAGCATGCCTGACCTTTTAATAATTATTTCAAGGATCTAGCTTAGCTCAATGTACTTAATGCATAGATACTATAGTGATGCATGCAGCATAAGAAACTTTATAGAATAGCTTCCACATTTAAAAAGATGGATGGAAATATTCATGTAATATTTCTCTTTCCTTCTCTTTAATGTGTTTCTTTCACACACCAAGCATTGCACATCTGTAATTTTGAAGGCTCTCCCTTTGGGGGTTGTGGGACTTGCCACACCCTGAAAAATGAGAAAATGAAATAACTGCAAAAACAATTGATCTTCAGTCGCAGTCTGTGTGCCATCCACACCAGTTCATATTACAGCTGAGCTCTTGTAGCAGCAGGAGCCATGCAAAAGGCAGCTGATGCAGGCCCCTATTTGTGTCATTAGTATGTACAGATTCCTATAAAGGATGCAAAGCTGCACCACCAGGAGAACTTTACTAAGTGGCCTATCAGCCATTACACAATGTGGTGGAGCACTTTCACAAGTGCCGTGATTGTCCCTAGTTCTGCAACACGCTTAAGCATGGGGCTCAGTGTAAATCATATGAGGAGTCTCACTGTCTTCTGTCTATGTGCTCTAAGGAACATTTCACTTTTAAATTAGGCATGTGCTTAAATATTTAGCTGACTTGGAGGTGTAATGAGCATATACAGAGCTAAACAAGTCCCAGGACCCTGAAATGCTGACCTTAGAGCTACTACTGGCCATCAGCAAAGATGCTAATGTAGAGGGCTCGATCTCAGCTTCCAAATGGCTTAGATGTTGTCTGCATGAGAAAGTTACACCAGTTCAATCGAATTCATTTTACACTGGTTTAGTTAAACTGGTACAAAGCCCATTGTGGATATTTACTTCAGTTTATCGGAAATCAGTCCCCAATCGACTAAAGCTAAACCAAAATAAACTTAACTTAAAATTAAAAAATGAATGGTCCTGCAGCACCTTAGAAACTAACAAAAATGTACATGGTATCATGAGCACAACCCACTTCTTCAGATGAAACTAGCTTGAAGTGAACTGAGTATCCACTTATGGCTTCTGGTTTAACAATGATTGTATAAAAATGACATTTTTTAATGTGCGTGCATTCCTCAGGTCAGCAAATCTTCAGAAAACTATGCTGCACATCCTCTTTGGGCTATGCCTTTCCTAATTATAATAGATGCTGTAACAAGTCAAGGCTGCTAATTTTCCCCAGCACAGATTAAAAAAAAAACCTCTCCAGTATACCATGCCCACTGCCTGTTAATATGTAATCATTCTTTTCTCATAATTGCCTGCACAGTTCACTTCCCTAAGAACTTTTAGAAAGTTCTTTACCATTTTATGACAAAAGACACCATGCAGTTCAATGAATGGTTCTTATGTGGCCACAGGGCCAATCAACGTTTATAATTCCCATTAAAAATAATGGGGAATGTGTTACATTGATTTCATCATAGACAGCTTTAAACTGCTGGTAAGGGAAAAGTATTCCCTCCATCCACTTCCCAAACACTCTGCTTTGAGGGATGTGCCATTCCTAACTCAGTTCTGAGTAGAAGTGCCATGCCTATGTACACAGTTTGATCTTTGGCACCACTCGAACATGGGATGAACTGTGCGGATATGAACAGAGCCATTATAATAAAGTATCCATGGTTTTATGGCTTGGTGCAGAAGGATATCACAGAGCAGGTTTAAGTGTACATGATGGAGGACCAGCAGGTAGAATTTCATGCAAACAACAGAATAACATGCCACACAAATATATTCTGTGGTGGGATCAGGTGTTACATTTAGTGTGAGCAAATCCTCAAATGAGTTGGTCTTGACTGCCCACATAAGAAGAAACATATGTAATTTCACATTGGTTTGGAAAATTCCCATCCCCTGCAGGCTACTTCCCTAACAAGACTAGTTTTATGTCCCACGACTATGAAAATATGCTCAAGAACTATAGCTAAATCTTTGAATAAAAGATCTTTCCCTCTTCTCTGATCTTATGCAAAACAACATTCATTCTTAAAACAATTCTCTGTGGGGTAACTTAATTTTTCAGAGCATTAAATTGAAAGAAACCTGAGATCTTTCTTTTTTTTAAATCTACTGATAATTTTTATTCTCAAAATTAGTGCTAGCCTCAGTTCACAAACCCACCATGTTCTGGCAACATTTTCTTTTAAATATGTATGCTCAGCTGTAAAGTGGCCCTGCCAGAATTTTATATTCTATACAAACACATACATATAACAGAGCTATTTAACTATGTTCCTAACGGTATGTTTAAATAATAATTTAAATAAATAATTTTTAAAAAAGAAATTTACTTTTCACGATTGGTTGTTTGTTTACTTATTGCATGTGATACGCTTTTATTTTTACTTTGACTATCGTGTTCAATTTCATTTTCTGTATCAAGGGGAGAGCAAAGGGCTTCCCAGAGAGAGAGAGAGAGAGACAGAGTGTGTGTGTCTGTGTGTGTGTGAATCAGTTCACATTTGTAAATGTATAAAATAGTTTCTCTGGTGCATTTTAAAGTCCTAATTTTGCACCACTGAAATCAGTTTTGAAATTAAAAGTGCTTTTGTTCAGCACAGGGAACTGATAGCTTCATTATAATGTATTCATAATAATATTAGCTCTTTCACATAGCTTTCTACCATGGGTAATGTAGAAAAGGTAATTGCATTTCAATCAGTCTTAGTGGTAAGTTCTGTTTCAAATCCTCACTATAAAGTTTTGGGAGATAATCTATAGACAGATTCTCTCCAGTCCCTGGGAGGAAGAAATCTGCCTTTTGGTAGGAATGATAAAATATTAAGATCCAGTGATGAAGAAGGAAGAAACTATTCTGTGTGGCCACAGTTATTACACATTCAAGAGGAAAGCGGGTGCTTTGTCCCACGTCGGGTTTCTCCAATGAGAATTTTCAGTTAATTAATTTGATCTATTAGTAGATTTGAAATAATAGCATAGATCATAAAAGGATGGGTTAATGTCACTTTCTTGTAGCGCTCTAAAAGCATTTAGTCCCAGATATTTTAAGCCTGAATATCCCTTTCCTAATAATGCAGAACTCAAAATGACTTCAACAAAAGATTGGCTTACTTAAGGTCTTCAGCAGAGGGTTCTTTAATTAGCACTGATTTTCTTAGTAGCTATTTGTCAGCAGATACATTTATCAGCTTGTTCTCAGGCACACTGTGTTGAGTCCAAACTCTCTCCCTTCCTAGCTTTTGGTTTATTAACAGAAAACTTACAATGAAATAGTTTAGCCCCTGATCTTGCAAATATATATTGTGCAGCCAACCTGCAGCTCCTACACAGAGCACAACTGAAATCAGCAGAACTGTGCATGTCCAATATTCCTCCTGTGTGTTACACATTGCAAGATAAATCCCATAAGGTTCAATCCAAACTTTTGACCCAGGCTTCACTGTTCTCAGTGTCCCTTCCTCCAGACTGCTTATCCCACACCACCTCTGATGGAGCCACACTTTTTTCATAGCCAAATAAGGTGATAGGATACCTGCTACACCTGCCAGCAAAACCCAGCCAACCCTTTCCAAGCAGAATCAACACGTGAAAACAAAATGGTGTATTTTGGATGAACACAGCCTGCTATGGCATGACTCAAGGAGCTATTGCTATTCATATTTGTACATAATACTTCATTGAAGTCAGAGGAGCAGACTGGTACTGCATAGAAAAGTTGGAAGTATATTACTGTACGTTAAAATTGCCAGAACAATGTTGGTTTATTTATAGAATGCAACACATATTGAAACTGGGATTTAGAACAAAGCTATTTAATATAGTAAGAGGGAATCTTTCAAGTTCTCTTGTTTTCCTTCTGTCTGGTTCTATGTAGCTCTATGCTATGCTGTACCATTTGAGAATGTGGAAGACATTTTTTTCTTTTTTTAAAGATTTCTACTATTGTTTGCTGAGAAATACACTAACAGCTTCATTTAAGAAGTGCTGATAGTAGTCATCTTAAGTAATCTGGCAGCTGGGAAAGCTTTCCAGAGCTATGTGAAATTATGTTTTCCTTTTGGGCAGCAATTGTAAATGTCCCATTAAAAAAGCTGAAGCCTTCAATCTTCAAAGGAGGCTTTTGACAGTTCCTGAGTGAGGAAGAAATCTTAAAGCAAAAAGAAGTCTGAATATGTCAAGGATATGACTGTGATAGGAAAGCTCGTTTCTTTTGAATTTGGTAGTCTGTCACT